AAAATCCTAACCTCAACGTGTAAACATTTTGCTTTCTTTCTAAACTCCTCTTTTTTCAATGTGTAGAAGCCTTTTCCTGTTTACAGTATTTGTATAAAGCTTGGATTTTGTTTGTATTCTTACTTACTTTAATTTTTTATTCCAAAAAAACTTATTTTCTTCAAACAATAATCGCGTAATATTGCTTATATGGGGGCTGGTTATATTCTACACCTAAAATAGTAGCCTATGCTTAGATTTCTATTTCTGGCAAAGGACGTGATTTGCAGGGAAACACACTTGTAATCACATGAACGCGTGAATAAAAGGCTGCTTTTTCATACAAATTTTTGTGTATCTCTGGATTTGGTGCTAGGTGTGCAATTGCAGACATGCTAGAACTATTCGTTGCTGTTATCCTCCATTTTTTATAACCGAGGCGTGAATCCTCTTTCTTTTGTTTGATTGTGATTTTCCACAAGTAGAATTTTTAGAAAATGAACAATTCACTTCTGTCAAATGAGTCACTATTGCCTACTACACCCGAAAGCTGCCATTTTGATCCGCAGCCGATGACCAACATAAGATTTTGGCTTGTAACTGTATTCGGATCGACCGTATCGTTTATTAGTATATGCAACAACGTCCTACTCTTCTACGTCTTCAGCTCAAGGCAAGTAAAATTTCTTTGTTGGCCAGTTACTTCCCGTTTACTTACCTAACGTTTTTAAGGAAACATCATCGGACGAGTCATAACCTCTACTTGATGCTTCTCGCATTTTTTGACATATTTGTCAGTACAGCATATATATTGCTGATGTCTGTTAATATCCTAATAGATTACTTGGTTTCAGCCACGCTTATGCAAATATGGTAAGCTTTTTTCTACAATTTTGATCAGGACACAGGGTTTGGTCTAATGGGTATTGACGTGACAATGTCAATTTCACCTTATATTAATAGAATTTTTGAAAAGTGATTCGTATTCTCTCTGTGCCTACATCTCTACAGCACCCGACTAAATTAAGCCTTTTTATACCAAACATTCACTCAGGACTACAAATTGCGGAAGCTCACTTACGAACAGCTACAGTAATCCTGAATTAAGAAAACTAGTGCGAATAGTTAATCGTTTTAGGTATTCTTACATGGTTCCAATGATTACGATCTCACATGTGGCGATGACGTCATCGTCATTCTTGATAGTATGTGCGTCATTTGAACGCTATTGCCTAACAGTAAAGTCTCCAAAACTACCATTTGCTCAGAGGTTGGCCTTTTCACAAAAGTTCAGTCAATAATTTTTTTAGAGATGTTCACATTGATTTCCTTTTCAGAAATCGTAAATACATAGCTGCTTTTGCGATATTACTAGGAGTGATCAGCAAAGGAACCATATGCTTAGAATATAAGGTGTTGTAACCTAGTGATTCCACATTGTTCTTATTAGAAGCTCGTTATTTTTCAGTTTTATGATATACCTGAATGTGAAGGTTTGATTACACAGACTCAAATGAGTTACACAGATCT